GGAGGCTGAGGCAAGAGAATTGCTTAAGCCCAAGAGTTTGAGGTTGCTGTGAGCTGTGATGCCATGGTACTCTACTGAGGGTGACATAATGATACTCTGTCTCAACAAGAAGAATAAAAAACAAAAAAAGTAAGGATTTTGGGTTTCTTCTGGCCCCCCTACCTATTCTCTATCTATACCCTCTTCCTCTTTAGCAACCCACTGGGCATCCAGGGCATGGGCGTCCCTTTGACACCTTCCCCATCACTGTTTGGGGTTCCTATAGAGCTCCCAGGAGGACATGGGGGTGAGCTGAGGGTTTCCTCACCTGTGATTAGGAGCTCCACTGGTTCACTGGGAAAAGACCACACATGGTTGTTATAAGAGCCAAAACACCTGTACGTCCCTCTGTGGGCTGTGGTCACAGGACCCATGGAGAACTTTGCCTGGGCATTCCCATATCTGTGTTGTACATGGCTGGATCTTCCCTCCTTGAGCAGGAAGAACGTGCTTGTTCCAGTCTCTAGACGGCAATAGAAAGTCACAAGCTCTCCCGAGATCACCATAGGCCCGGGATGAACTGAGAGGGTGGGTGTATCGAACATTCCTGTGAGAGGAGGTGATAAAGATCATTATTATCCTGCCTCTCACATCTGCCATTTCTCTCGGCCTCAAGACCAGATGTCACTTTCCAGATCTCAGTCCCTTCTATTTAACAGTTTGTTTCCTTGATTTGTGCTGGTCATGAACACGCCCTCCCTGATCTCTGCTGTAAGACTCCTGGCCCCGGGGAGTGCTTTGGGAATTTCTCTACACCAATGTTTTAGTCCCATCACCTGGGAGCTTGATAGAAATATAAATTCTTGGACTCCCTTCCTCCACCCAGAGCCACTCCATCAAAAACTCAGGGATAGGGCTCGGCGCCTGTAGCACAGTGGTTATGGCACCGGCCACATACACTGAGGCTGGCCACATACACTACAACAACAACAAAATAGCCAGGAATTGTGGCAGGTGCCTGTGGTCCCATCTACTTGGGAGACCGAGGCAAGAGAATCGCTTACGCCCAAGAGTTTGAGGTTGCTGTGTGCTGTGATGCCAAGTACTCTACAGAGGGTGACATAGTGAGACCCTGTCTTGAAACTAACAAACAAACAAACAAACATACCCCAAGAAACCCTCAGGGATAGGGCAGCCATTGGTATTTAAAAACATATACTTTTTTTGGGTGGTGCCCTTAGCTTAGTGGATTAGGGCACTGGCAACATACACCAAGGCTGGCAGGTTTGAACCCAGCCTGGGCCAGCTAAAACAACAATGACAACTGCAGCAATAACAACAAAA